ATAAATTGTAGTCAAAATGAGTAGGGCTGGGCAATAATATCAATATTTCAATATATTACAATACAATGATAAAAAATATTGTATTGCAATACAATTTTGTAATATTGATATATTGGCAAAATAATTAGATTAAGGAATTAAGGTTTTCATTAATCTTAATGTGACAGATTAAGAAAAGCCTACTAAATTTTCCGCAGCAGGCTGATAATTAATCCCCAGGGATTAATTATACCTCTCTCATCATTTTCTTCTAAAGTTACAATAAGAACTTTTTCAGTATTAATGATAGAATGGGGTTTTTATACAACTACCTTAAAAATTAATAGTATTCTTGAATTTACATAAAGGGAAAAAAAAGTAAAAAATATAAAACAAGAAATCTGTGAGCCAATGCTCACTAGTAATACCCCCGCTCTGATGTAAATAAGCACTATCATGTTAATACACAAAAGTTCAATTACAAGCAGATGCACAGAAAAATAGGAAGTTGACATCAGATTCATATCAAAATTAATCCCATCATATGACATGCCTAAACAAAGAGTGTAATAAAATTTGAAGCATCTGCTATGAATAGGTAATGAGAAAACTGCAACGAAAATTTTTTATTTATGAAACAGAAAGACGCACAGACAAACAGAAAGTTGATATCCGATTAAAAAAAAAAGTGTATCCCAACATATGGCATGCCTTACAGAAGAATGTGTTAAAATTTCAAGCATCTACAATGAGTTGTTGCAGAGAAAACTGCGAATAAAATTTGTTATGTATGAAACAGACAGATGCACAGACAAACAGGAAGTTGACATCCGATTTGAACGAAAATGTATCCCAATATATGGCATGCCTGAGAAAATATTGTGTTAAAATTTCAAGCATCTACAATGAGTAGTTGCGGAGTAAACTGCGACGAAAAATTGTTATGTATGAAAAAGACAGACGCACAGACAAACAGGAAGTCGACATCAGATTTGTGTGAAAATGTATCCCACCATATGGCATGTCTCAGAGAAAATTGTGTTAAAACTTCAAGCATCTACGATGAGTAGTTGCTGAGAAAACTGCGATGAAAATTTGTGATGTATGAAACGGACAGACGCACAGACTAACAGGAAGTTGATATCGGAATTAACCGAAAATGTATCCCACCATATGGCATACCAAAGAGAAGATTGTGTTAAAATTTCAAGCATCTAGGATGAGTAGTTGCTGAGAAAACTGCGACGAAAAGAGCATGAGCCACTTTGGGCCTTATTTGGCCCTGAGAATTTCTGAAAAATCAAAACCGCTCAGTTTAGGTTGCAAATGCAGTATTTATCACTTAGAGTGTTGGTGACCACGTTTCTATTAATTGTGACGTAATTTCACATCTAGCCATTGCATTATGACGTCATAAAATGCGTCATTTTCCTCAGATCCTGTAAATTCCTTTGAAAATGACAAAGTTGAAGCATTTTTTCAATATTACATATACAGCACAACCTCGGATCCAAAATATGAAAATACATAATGAAAGCTCTGTTATTGAAGATCACAAAACATGTCTTATTTTTTGGATTGTGGGCTGTGCTCATATTTTAATTCTTTGCTGAAGGTTGTCAAATACGCATGATTTCTGCAAATTTCAAGAACATTGCAATTTTTTAAACCTGTTTTGCAATATGTGGATTCTCAAAACAAAATTTTATTATAGAAAATGAAAGCACCAAGTGTCTACTTTATTTTGATATATGAAATGGGAAAGAGGGCGATAGTAAATTAATTGATAAAAGTACAGGGCCAATTTATGCATAAGATGGCTCTTGCTCTTTGTTTCGGACGGACACACAGCTGGACAGACGGACGGACAGACACACAAGGGTAAAACAGTATACCCCCCTATCCTTCGGAGCAGGGGTATAAATATTTTTTAATTGAAATAAACAAGAAATCTGTGAGCCAATGCTCACTAGTAATACCCCCGCTCTAATGTAAATAAGCACTATCATTTTAATATACACAAATTCAATTACAGGCAGATGCACAGAAAAATATGAAGTTGACATCAGATTCATATCAAAATTAATCCCACCATATGGCATGCCTAAACAAAGAGTGTAATAAAATTTGAAGCATCCGCTATGAATAGCTAATGAGAAAACTGCAACGAAAATTTGTTATTTGTGAACAGACAGACGCACAGACAAACAGGAAGTCGACATCAGTATTTTTGCGAAAATGTATCCCACCATATGGCATGTCTCAGAGAAGATTGTGTTAAAATTTCAAGCATCTACAATGAATAGTTGCTGAGTAAACTGCGACAAAAATTTGTTATGTATGAAACGGACAGACGCACAGACAAACAGGAAGTTGCCATTGGATTTGTGCTAAAATGTATCCCACCATATGGCATGTCTCAGAGAAGATTGTGTTGAAATTTCAAGCATCTACGATGAGTAGTTGCTGAGAAAACTGCGACGAAAATTTGTGATGTATGAAACGGACAGACGCACAGACAAACAGGAAGTTGATATTGGATTTAAGTGAAAATGTATCCCACCATATGGCATGCCTCAGAGAAAGTTGTGTTAAAATTTCAAGCATCTACAATGAGTAGTTGCTGAGAAAACTGCGACGAAAATTTGTGATGTATGAAACGGACAGACGCACAGACAAACAGGAAGTTGATATCGGATTTAAGTGAAAATGTATCCCACCATATGGCATGCCTCAGAGAAGATTGTGTTAAAATTTCAAGCATCTACGTTGAGTAGTTGCTGAGAAAACTGCGACGAAAATTTGTTTCGGACGGACACACAGACAGACAGGACAGACGGACAGACAGACAGACAGACACACAAGGGTAAAACAGTATACCCCCCTCTCCTTCGGAGTGGGGGTATAAAAATATATTCAATCTATTTATTGTTTTTAGAATTCTATGAAATCATAACTATTTTAACAAAAACATCAAGTTACGCCCAGTTTTAATTTTCAGTTTGTATTTCTGCAAATACACCTTATCTGGAGGTCTGTATACTTAAGGTCTCACACAAGGAAATAATTTCACTATATATTAGGCCATCCTTAAAAAATTTATTTTTTGCAGTAATGCGCCTCATCATTTTAGGTGTGAGTAGGTAGGTAGGCTTTTTTTTTTGAGACAAAATGTCAGAAAAAAATTTCGATGATATAGAGGTATTAACTATGTCTCAATTTTCACCTTATTTATCAAACAGGAAAATTAAAGCATTCTAAATGAATTCAATCTTTTATTGCTCAAATATCAGAACACATCAGTTCTTTTTAAGCAAATTTTTCCAAGAAAGTGACTCTCATCACCCACGTATCTCAAATAACTGACTCCACATTAATCTAGTGTTTCGGGGGTGTGATATCTACATGTACGAGGTTTAAGATTTTGAGTGCAATTAGAAAAATTTATTACTAGCCCATGGGCTAGTGGCAACCATAAAATTACTAGCCCCAAGTAAAAAGTTACTAACCCAAATATAGGGGCAAAAATTTAAAATGAAAATAAAATTAACTCAGTACCCTGACTTGAAAAAGTCAGGGTACTGAGTTAATTCTTTTTAAAATTAAGGCAAATTAATGTATAATTCTCACTATTAAATTTTAAAATCGTGTTTAAATTATCATGAAAGAAAATTAAAATGAATTTAAATAAATTATTTTTCTTTTTCTGAACATTGCATTAGCAGCTCATTTAGGCCTAGAATGAAAATTCATTTTGTTTTCTGTTTAATCATTAAATACACTACAAATATATTTAATAGATGTGTGTCACAAAACACTTATTTTTCACTTGATTGAGTGATCGTATATATTTTAATGAGATATCTGCATGTATGTACCATAAACGAAGGAATAGAGGAAATTCGGATTGAGAAAAAAACGATCGTTTTTGGAAGTAAACAAGTCAGGAAACACTGCAAAACAGTTACAATTATTGAGATTTTTTGATAGTTGGAGCATGTTGTCTGGAAAATATTCACTGGCTGGGAATTAAATTGCAAAATACGGTAAGAATACCGGTTGTGCTTTTCATGTATTGTGTGTGTAATTAAAATTTTTACTAGCCCAACGGGCTACCCCCTTGCTGAAAACCACTAGCCCGACCCCCAAAAATGGTAGCCCCGGGCGTCAGGCGATGCTAATTGCACACCTCTGATAGTTTATTAATTAGCTGCAAATACGCAATCATCCCACATGGAATTTTGGCTGCCACCAATTTTGTGTAAGGTGGAACTGACACACAATATTTTTTTTTTGCCTAGTAATAAAGATAGATTTACTGTAACTGACAGAACTATAGAGTCAATATTTCCCGCAACCTTCTCGGACGCAATCTATAAATTTGTAGATCAAAATGACGTTTTTTAAAATAGTTGGGGGAAAGATAAAGCGTTGGTGTAACCGAGACGTAAAAAAATCAATCGGATAAAAACGGAAAATGGATACGTAAAAAAAAAAAGAATATTTTTGAACCGATAAAAAAAATCCAGTTGGGTGGATTTTGGTGAGTCGGTCGCGTTACCGCAAAAAAAACAATTTTTTAAGGATGGCCTTACTATAAAGCTTGAATTAAATTATTTAATTTATTAGACTCTCAGCAAAAAATTCATGAAAGAGAAAATAAAGATTAATGCTTAAACAAAAATTTGAGATCAGAAAAAATATGCCTTATGCGGCTTTTAAGAAAGAAAATCGACAGTAAACATACCTACCCCGAAACGCACGTGGGATTCACATGTTGACAAACAGCCTACACACCATCCAGGAAGTTGCATCATGCGCACCTGAAAAAAGAGTGCCTTTTAATTCAGTGGTATAATTCTGCTAAAGAAATGATATTCCTAGTACATGAGTCCAATTTTAATACTGTAGGCCTAAAACAAATTGCCAAAAATGAAAAAGGAAAAAAAAATTTCTCTATATATGTAGAACTTCAGTTGACTAAGTTCATTTTGATTGGCTATTTCTTTGCATAAGACCTTTAAGACAATTAAAAGTTAATTAAATTAAATGAAATTTGCACAAAATGTCTCTGAGTTACTTATCTTTCATATACCAGTGCGTCAAAATTTATCTTTGTCCTTAAGGGATGAAAAATAGGAGATAACTCTTCCTAACAGATTATTGAATTTTAGGCTAAATTTCTGTACAAATTCATCTTTGGCATATTAATTTCAAAACTTGAAAAAATTTAATGAGTGAATCATTGAGAAAAAAAAATTCAATGAATTGAAAGCTGAAATATTGTAGTTTTTGGCTATATGCTAAAAAATAATTTCAACTTTAATTAATGAGCTCTAATTATCAAAGAAACCGGAAGTTAACTGATTTTTAAGGAATTAATTAGCAAAAGAGTGAAAATCTTAATTCTAAAACAAAGTCAGAGACTGAAAAATGGTTTAAAAAGAGAATTCAATAATGTACCTTGGAGCTTTGATAACAGTGATCACTGATTAATGGCTGGTGATTAAGATAAGGGGTTCTTAAGCAGTGGGGGGTGATGAGGCTTTTCCATCAGTCATCAAAGAATGGAGTTTCTCTTAGAAGTCCAGGCAGCTCTAAAATAAATAAACAACACAAAAGTTTACAATACTTAAAACTGTGCACCACATACAATAACATATTCTTAGAAAAAGTCTACAAGTATATAGTTAAATAATTACCATGCCAAAAAAAGGACCAAGATGGTTGCATCAACATCAATACAAAAAAGGAAGTATTCCTCACAACAAAGGCCAGAAGAAAATAGGGACCACTAACCCAGTCCAATCTCTGGTTCCCATAAGGAGACTAAGTAAAGAAGAATTTCAGGACATTGTACGGCCACAGAAAAATGGGGTGTTTGCAGTTATAGATGCCAAGAGCCGAAACAGCGAGATGAAGTTTTACGACCCGGGCCAAGTGAGGTCCAGCCAGTGGACACCTACATCTAATCTGTGTCAGATGACCCAAATTCAAAATTATACAAGGTACTTCACAAAGAAAAGACTGCTAAATTGTGGAACAATGCATTCAAAGAACACTTACAGAAGTTTCCTGACTGTGATGGTCCACTGGACTGGAATCAGCATGGGGAGGAAAAACGAGGCCTAGCATGGATCCTTTCCATTTGATGTAAGAAGTGCCACTATACCAGTCACCGAGAAAAGCTCTACGAAGAGGTGAGAAGATCTGGAAGGGGACGAAGAGCTGCACAGATGAATGTGGCCATGGCTGTCGGTCACCTGGGTACCAGTCTTACAACAGAGGGTATGCGTGGTATGCTTCTTGGTGCAAATATTGAACCAGCGTCAGCCGCCAACATGCAACAGACCTGCAACAAAGTGGGGAAAATTATAACCGATGTAAATAAAACAATATGAAAAAATTCGGCAGAATATTCAAGAACTTAATGAAAAATGTGGACTTCCGGATGCCCCCATCAGAGCGGAAGGAGATGCTCGGTAAAATAATGCCATCTTCAGTGCCATTGGGAAAACCCCATTCCAAGCTTCCACCCATCCAGTGACGTATACCGTAAGTGAAAATGTAACTCAGAGGAAGAATGTGGTAGCAGTTTTCTGTGGGAATAAACTATGTAAGAAAGGCGCACACCTACAAAGCAAAGGAAAAGAGGTTACCTGCCCAGGACATGAAGACTGCACTGCAACCATACCTCCGGAGACCACCATTGGAGACGAGAAGAGATGGGCCGCTAATTGTGTTGGTGATTTACAGAGTGATGACCGGCCACTAGTAATATCCCATTTCACCAGTGATGGAGACAGTGCCGCTGCATCTGGGGCATCTGAAAAACAAGGACATGTGATTGAAAACCTTAAGGACCTGCGTCACTTCTTTGACTCTCAAAGAAAACAGACTGCTAAGGCTCCATTCAGTAGTCACATGTTTCCGGGAAGAACCAAGGCCATAAGAGAATCCATGCAGCGAAGATTTGCCTTGGACTTGAAGCTTCGATGCAGGACAGAGTACGCGAATTGCTACAAACACTACTCCGGCGACTTACCTTTGATGAAGCGTGCTATGTCTACTGTGGTTGGTTCCCCCATAAACTGCTACCAGGGACAGTGCGGAAAGTCCTGTCAACTCTACTCCTTTTCCTGTCGTGGACTGAAAAGCAATAAGTGGAAATCTTCAGTGTTGCCTAGTGACTTTGAATTAAACATGACAGAAAAAGACAAATGTTTGTTAAAAGACTGTATAAATTTGACTTTAGGACAAAGTAATCTTGATAGAATCAAATATCATACTTGTACACAAAAATCTGAATCTGTAAATAGGGCATATTTAAAATCAAATCCAAAATGTATTACAAGTAGTAGAAATTTTGAAAGTAGAATACATAAAGTTGTACACTCACTGAATAGGGGTCATGGAAACTCAACACTGGAACTTTGTGAATCTGTAGGGGCACCTGTTGTTGTAAAAGGAAGTAGAGTGGTCCATCATCTAAAACAACAACAAAATAGACAAAATTACTTTAAAATGAAACAAAAACTGTTAAAATATAAATTTCAAAGAAAATACACAGATCTAAAAGATATCAGCTGTACAATAAAAAATCTAAAGACACTTACAGTAAATCATTAACAGATCCAAAATTAAAAAGGAAGTTGTAAGACTGTGAAGGGGGGGGGGGGCATTGATGATATGTACATGCAGTGTTCAAATAGGGGGATAAAATTTGTATTTAAAATATGCGCCCCTCTGCCCCTAACAGGCGCCCCTGTGTCCCTTGTGAGTGACCAATATCATTCTGACATCATAAATAATTAGTGTGTTTTATAAGGCTAATCAACAGTTCACACCTCCTGCCATAGACGATTATTTTCACTACTGTGTAATATACTGTACAACTATCAATTACAGGTGATTAGGTAATTACTGATATTTGACAGTCTGTATAAGTTAAAAGCTAAAATACTTGGAGAATGACCATGCTATCTGTTTTAATCTAAAACAGAGAGTCTTTGTCCTAAAGCGTTCTAAAAATAAATCAGAAAGTGAAAGTAGTATAAACAATGACCTTCAGCAATCTAAATATAAATTCTAGACGTTTTATGATGGAATTTAATATCTTTATAAGCAAAGAAATATGTATAGGTAATTTTTTACACTCTGGAAGAGATTTTACAGCCATAATATGTAATTGTATTCATGTCATATGACAGAAGGTTAAAAATCTTCATTATCTACCACTAACATTTTTTAACTTAAAGGTAAAACAAACAAAAGAAATATTGACATTTAGTTGTATTAAGTTTGATAACAACTAAATAAATAATGTAAGAAAATGTTTTCACTAATAAATATTGTAACTCTTGTATATATTTTAAATAATTTGCCAAATACAAACTTAAGCAATTTAGAATTCAGTAATTGTATACATATTGTACGTGTAGATTTTCATGTACTACTATTAAATGGAAGACACCAGATAATTTACATGAATTAATTATTATATGTGCTGCATTCTACTTCTTATCAACAATAGAAAATCACTGCAATCAATGGAAGAAAAATCACATTTATCCTAATTAAAACTAGTGCTAATTGTAACAAAAATTTGAGATCGTTAAAATGTATATAACTCCCTTTTGGTGCCATATTCCCTATAAGCTTCATTAAATAAGACAAACTCGTTGCATTTGATACTTTAATTAACAATGTTACCCAGAAGTGTACCAATTTCATTCAAATTTTAGCATTGCACGCGTGCGCATGTGAATGCACGTGCGTAATGACGATATAATCTTGTCTTCACAATCTATAGATTTTAATATACTAAATATCAAAGTATTTAATCCAAAAGTATTAAGAAATATGCTTATTCAAGTGTAAAATTTTACTCATTTCACGTGCACGCAGCTTGTAGAAGTCCATTACATCTATCTATGTTCTAAATCCCACCCTGTTTGGTTAAAAACCAAGGGAGTTATAGCTGTTCAAAGTTTCAGCCAATCAGATTGCAGCGCATGTACACGCACATGTATGCATGTGCATGGTGACCATACTTTCTTGTAGAAGTCCATTATATCTATCTATTCCAAATCCCATCCTGTTTGGTTGAAAAACAAGGAAGTTATAGCTGTTTAAAGTTTCAGCCAATCAGATTGCAGCGCACGTACACGCACGTGTATGCATGTGCATGGTGACCATACCTTCTTGTAGAAGTTCATTTTATATATCTATGTTCCAAATCCCATGCTGTTTGGTTGAAAACCAAGGGAGTTATAGCTATTTAAAGTTTCAGCCAATCAGATTGCAGTGCACGTGCTTACACGTGTTTTCATGATAATTGCTATATATCATGTTGTAGGATATCGTAATGCATGGCTATGTTCAAAATTTCAAAGGATTTCGTCAAAAAAACATGAAAGATATTGAGACTTTAGTTTCAGCCAATCAGAGCAAAGCGCACGTGCATGCGCGTTAGATCTTGCTATTTTGACCATGCTATCTTGTCTATACTACTAATGTATCCTTACATTATGAGTTTCAAAAAATTTCATCAAAAAATAAAAAAGTTACGGCAATATCCATTATATTGGTCATTTCACGTGTTGCACGTGCGCGCTCTTGCAAGCACGTGCGCGCAAAATGACCTTCGTTATACTCTACATAACATGCCTACTACCCTAAAAAGGTTTCACCTAAGTCGGATGTATAGTTTACAAGATCACTCGTGGACAAAATTTTCCCAGGAAGAAGAAAAATAATAAGAATAATAATAATAAGAAACAGAGTAAAAACAATATGTTCCCCAACTTCGTTTGGGGAACATAATTACCTTTCAATTATATTTTATATATTGTTACAATACAAGCTAAAGTTAACCATCAATAAGGTTAAACATATAAATCATATTTGAAGGAATTATAATTATATTCATTATAAGGGTGAAGAAATGAGGTACACCTATGTACATGATGGATGAAAAACTTGCGACAACGGTATCACCGTATGTCGCGAAAAAGTGCCCTTCTATTGCACCCCTCCATTTTCAGATCCTAGCTGGAACACTGACATGCATTTCAAATGTATAAAATTTGTATTTATTAAAATATATTTTGTTAACTATCTTACATGTAATAATTGTTTTTATGGTTCATTATGCATTCATTTGATTATTTTCAACTGTGTAAATGGGGAAAAAGTGGACATTTGAATAATGTATTATTGTATGTGTAAAATAGGGCTGGGACGATACCGAACTTAGCCAATCCGATACATATCACGATACCTTAGGTGCAATACGATACATATCACGATACATTTAAAACCAAATAAAACTTAGTCTAGATATTTTTTTAGAACCTTTAATTTGGAACATTACAGATTATAAAAAATAAACTAATTCAAAAGAAACCCGACTTACTGCCATTGTGTTTTCATTGATTTAACATAATCTCGCGTGTCTGATGCCATTCTGGTGCTTGTATTTTGAATTCTGTATCACCAAGACGTTTGTACTTTATTTCTGATTGTTTAAACGTCTTGATGATACAGACTAAAGGACTGAATTCTAAAGCCCAGACATTTTTGAAAATTAAAAAAAAGTGCTGTCAGGTATCGTGATACTAAATTATATGAATCGATCCGTATATCGTCAAAGTGAATACTGTGATGCATCGGTGCACCGGTGGATCGTCCCAGCACTAGTGTAAAATGTGATATTTTGTTATACGAGAGAGTCTGTACATGTAAAAATGTTATATTCTTTATTATTTAGCTCATTAAAATTATTTGAATTAAATATCTTGTTTTTCTTACCTGTGTGATGAACACAACAAAGGTTTCAGAGGTATTTGGTAG